GCTGTCCAATGACGGTGAAACAATGGACGAAAACAACTAAGTCTCCGACGATCTGGAAAAACTGGAAAACAATATCCCTGCCCTTTGCTGCACTAATGGTTTGTCGGAGAAACTTTAACGACATTGACAACATTATTTCTTCACCAGTCAAAGGATGCTGATAGTCCGATCCAGGCTTCTCAAACAGGGCGCTGTTAATGTCAAACAACATCATCTAGAATGACCAAAAAAGTTTGTTGCAATCATTACCATGAAGCGTTTGCGTAAAAAAGAATGTCTTTGATTTGTGGTGTCCTGAATTTACAGCTTTTCAACACCTTTTACAAAACAAGCTATTCCATCATAGAACAGTTCCTCTTCGAAAACAGAAGAACCGCTTTGTTCACTTAAGCTGCATGCATCTTACAGGTCGAGGTCTGCCGTGTTTCATCGCCCCATTTGCAGGCTGGTGTAAATGGTCTGTAAATCAGGCTGTCTAACAAGGTCAATCTCATTTTTGATCTTCACATATATTGAGGTCACCTGTGCCCGGTACAGAAGAGCTATACCTTATGCACTTCTGCCATTTAATCCTCACTATGTGTCGAAGTCAGCAGTGTCGTACCCTGTTTAACCGCCGCTCTTTGTTTTCGTTAAAATAACGGTTTCTGTCACAAGGCAACAATCACATGACCACGGCAGGCTCTTGCTACATGAAGGCGTAGAAATACGGCAGCCCGCTCAGGTAGGCTGAGGCAGTGGTACTGCTCGCCACTCGCTAATGATATCCTCGACAAAAACTTTACAACGAACTCCAAATCTCTAAATCCGTTGGGCTGGATGAAGGTTGAGGCGCTGGCAAGGGTCGCGGAAGGTCATCGGACCACAGGAAGCGACTGGTCAACGGATCCGAAACGTCATTAACCTCGCCATCGACAGATTCATTCCCAGACGAGTACATCACGGAAACGGATAAGTTCAAGGCGCAAGTCATGTGCATATGCGAGACCCTAAGGTCAACTGAACTTTTTGCGAAATAGAACAACAGTGACAAAACGTTTCTCCGGAAAACCTTCGAGAACAGAACCCGAACCAAAGGTACTGGATTTATAGTAAACGGAAAGACTGTGCCATTTATGGTCAGGTGCGATACTATGTCATCCTATATTGCAATTCTACTTCTGCAGATGGACATAAGAAAAACAATAAAAATTATCCAAGCTTACAGCCCAACCCAACAAGCTGAAGATGAGCAAATCGAGCAGTTCTACCATGAATGTAAAGGAAGACTACATACATGATTATCAATGGTGTGGTCGGGAAAATAACGAATGACGATACGGAGACATTCACAGGCAATTATGGAAAAAGCGAAAGAAATTAACGTGTAGATTGCTTCGCAGGCGACTTCTACACCATGAACATTGTTTTTCAGAAAGGTCCAAAATGAGAATGGACATGGAAGAAGCCCAGATGAAAAGTGTCTGAACCAAATCAACTTTGTACTGATGGATAAGAAACGAATATCAGACGTCGATCATAGGCGAGAATATCATTTATACAGGGTCAGACCACAGGCTTTTAAGTTTCACGGTTATGAACGATGCCCCAAAAGAGGAGCGGATTAAAAGAACCCGGAGATCACCGCTTTGTGGAGAACGACGATTCGATCCGAAGGCTTTAGCAGAGATGTTGCCATTAATGAACTTTAAATGAACATTAGCATGGTGCAGATCATCACCATTTTGATAATGCCATTAAGACTGCCTTTAGAACATCAAACCGGAGAGCAAAGTGAACAAAAGACAAATGAATCAGCCCTTGAATAAGACAGCTAATGGCAAGAAGAGCCGAACTGAAGGCCAAAGTGAAAATGCACACGCGTACGCTGCACTGAGCATAGAGATACGGAAGAAACGTACAAAAAATCACGAAAATTACTCGAGAACTCGATTAACAGAAGTACGGAGCGGATGGAAAGCCTTAGAGCTGTGTGAAGCGAGATATAGGCGTGAAACAACGGATTCCGAGTGCGTTAAAAGGCGAAGGAGGGCCAAGAACTACTGATCGCCATCGGATGAACGCGATCTGCATAAAGTTGTGTAACAACATGTACGCTTCAAAAGTAGATGTGGATCGGAACTTGCCACACGTTGCCCAAAAAGGAATTTCTAAAGTCACCTGGGAAGAAGTTACATGGGCAATCAGAAACATCGAAAATGGAAAAATGCAAAGACAAGAACGACAGGAAATGACAAAATCACCTCAAAGAAGGAAGACCAATCCTGTTCAAAATGCTTGCCAAAAGTTTAGAGGAATATATCAGGCAAAACAGACGCATAAAGTGCGGAAGACATCAAAAATGATTCTTCTCATGGAAAAACGCGACTCAGAAGACCTCAAGAACTATCGACCAATTACACTTCTGCAGCAGATCTACTAATGTCTTCACCTGCATCGCTTTGAACCGTATTCGGAAGGACTGATAGTAGTCAGAAGTCGGGAACAGGCTGGTACACGGTTTCCTACCATCGACCATACATGTCATCGAGCAGCTGACGCAGAGACGCAATGAAAATTAAGTGCCATTCTGTTCATCTTTTACCGTCCACATTGCAGACTCTACAAGAATGCTTTCGATTTTAAAGAACTGACGGACAGGTACACCTTGCACCTTGCATTAACATAGAATAAATCCTGTTTACGTCAGCCCAATCGACGAACTAAACAGTATTTGCAAGACAGATATCAAGCTGTTCAGCGAACCATGTCTCATCAGAATCCATCGAGAAGTGCGCTAACGAGATACCATCTCATCAGCGCTCTTCGCTGTGGTCTTGAAGTAACTGTTCAACCGGCTAAACTGGTGAAGCGACATCAGTATTGATGGAAGGCAGCTAATGCATTTGTTATCTGCGGACAACTGCATTTTCTTCGCACAAGATACGACGGAGCTCCAAATGAAGATCCAGCAGTTAAAATAAGAATCTCTCACTGCCAGTTTTCAGTTTGGAAGCTAACTATAAGACGAAATGGATGCGAAACAAACACTGCCCCGAGAGCTCTGTCTACACAAAGAGTGGAGACCTCTAAGAAGTCATCAACCATGTATGCTTCGGCCATCAACTGAACCGCATGAACTCGCATCATTACTCAACAGTGAGCCGTCCATGCAGGCGCAGAATGATCTGCTAGATTCAACAGCGCTACTGGCCATGATCCACGACGCTGAATGTTCGTCAACAAGAAAAGCCGAGGAGAACAAACTGGTGGCCACGCAAAGAATAATGGAACGAAAAATAAGCAAAGCATCGCTCTGAGACCACGGACTGAATTATCAGATGTACTTTCTGCATTCTAAGATGACAAGATGAACCGGTCATGTGGCATACCTAAAAGGCAATCGGTGAACGTTAAGAATTACAGACTCGGTTCTGCTGGACCACTAGCGTCAAGTCGGTCGTCAAAGAACGAGCTGGCATGATACGATTGTGAATTTACTTGATCAGCGGTGAAGACAGAATAAGGAGGAATGTCGACTTGCGTTTACCCATAATGAGGACAAATCCGATAACGAGTAAGGGATATTCCTTCCTCAGCTCAAATAGTGGGCAATCCATATCACTTGAGGCAAGGACCATCCTACTGCTTAACTCTATATGAAAGATGCAGTCGCTGGAGATGTTGGAATCGAGGTACTTAAACTGGCGGACCTACTCCACCCTTTAACCTCTGTTGAACGTGAGGTTTTACAATAGCAGATGGGTTCTTCGTAACTTTTGACTTTTGGATATAGAAAAGAGGCCAAATTTCGCGGTTCTGCTCAGTACTGAAGTCATCAGGGACGAAGTTCACGTCCCTTATCATTCTTCAAGACAATAACACCTGCGCACTCCAAGGGTCAGTAACTTGCCCGAGCGGATTCCGTCTAAAATAAAACACTCCTTCTGCCAAGGTGAGCCATGTTACGGAGTACAAAGTCGAGAACAATATTGAATAGTAATAGCACAACTTCCTGGTGAACTCCATAGTTTAAGTGGAACCAAACTGACAGTTATCCTTTTATCTTAATAGAAGGTACAGATCTCGCATACATCTCTTTCAAAATGGAAACGATGGGCTCAGGAGACCCTCAGCATTTTAAGTTTTTTCACATGTGCGCAGTAAATTAACGATCGGAAGTGGTGAATCTGGAGGAAAACAGTGGAGGAATTGCTAGATAGGCTTGCTCCATCGTTGGAGGCAGCTTTTCAAATCAGGCAATAGTACACCGTTGGCGTCTTCAAGAACTACCAATCGAGTGCTTCGCTTGTCGGACCAATGTTTTGATTCCTTGGAACACGGTTCGCAAATCAATCTTACTGGCTGTCTTACTAATTTTCTTGATTTTCCCCTCCAGACAACGCTCCCCTCCATTTCCCGTAGTTCCGTATAACCACACGAACGAGACGGCGATGGATCACTTTCTAACGTACAAGAGGGGGTTAAAGTTTTTCCTCTTAGCGCGGTTCCTCTGCATTCCAGGTGCGTTCTCCGTAACTCATTGCAGTGTTCAGTTTTCTTCCTCCTAATTCCAACTGTTTTTCGTCGAAGAAATTGCGCCCTCTCTGAAGTTGTTGCAAGCTTCATCGATGCTGCGATGACAAAGATAGCTCTTCACTTTCTTTCGGCTAAGCCAGCTGCCGAGTTTTGTCATATTTTACCATATCAACATCTAGAAGCTGACGTGTTTTAACCACGCGACGTCGACGTGACAACAGAGACTGAAAGTCAACGCTGCTCAAGATGCCCGGAGATTTTACAAACGGATTCTAAGGATACAGATAACGTCATGAGGCTGAAAGACTTGCCAGAACTGCTAATCAAGTGGTCCATTAAAATTCACTGAAAACGTGTGCAACGTGACTGTAAGAATGAGGCTACGAGTCAACGCAAAAAACAAATAATATGAATGTCGACGTTCAAGCAGAAGATACTACTGAATGGTACGATGGCGAATGTGGACCATTTCAAATACCTGGTAACCGTCATAACTAACGATAGCGGACTGATCTTGAATCTAATCATATTTACCTTTCTAATAAATTGTTTGGAAATATCTATTGTCCTGAAACACCAAGAAGGTCGTCTCGAAAATTTACCATACAAATGTCTGCAAAGAATGTTCAGAGTTGATGATAAAACTGAGTCATTAATCATCAAGGACCAGAGATCTTAGAAAATTGTTAACAAAACTTAGAGGCCGATTCCAGGCTTGGTTTCAAAAATGGTCAAAAACGAAAATGGAAATGTATTTCATTCGGAAATAGTTGCTCCCGCTGCAACCGTCAATTACAACCAACGCGCTGGAAGAAACTGCAAAACAAAAATCTCATTGAGGCAGTACTGCTTGAGAAAAGGAGCATGAGTTTTGAGACAGCAGCAGTGAACGTTTCTAGTAAAAATCTGAAATAGTGTTTAAACAGCTGAACATCAAACACGGGCCATTCCACTGTCAAAAATATATTAGCCCAAGATGAAGATGACAGCAGCAGCATGGGATAAAAGATCACTCTGACAGGATCACAAACGGACAGAATGGAAACGTAATGAACGGCGCATGGTAACCTCTTCACCAAGCCGCTTAATTTCTAACTGATGACTACTCTTGGTGAAAGGCCGAAGGAAGGCAACACAGATGTGGATGACGCTAGATGAAGGACATCTGGAAATCGGGATAAATTAATATCAGCCTGCCAAAGAATTGTACACAACCAGAATAGCAAGCATCCTAAACATACAAGGGATGAAATTTCATCAACTATGCCTCATGTATTCATGCTTTTTACTCGACAGGTTACGCACACAGCACTTCCATCAAACTAATAATTGTCGCCAACCGGTCTTCCAACAGTAAAAGCTTACATGAGCAAGAAAAATGTATACACGTTCACTTACGTTATTGTGTTTCAAGATTAGTAAACAACTATCAAAATACATATACATACACAATCTATTCACTTCTCTAGCTCGTATAAACGGCCATCGTCGTTGCGTAAAGGCCGATGAAAACGGCATCGGCTAAGCTGAAATACTGTCCTTGCGCCGTCTGTCAAATGAATGTCGCAAAAATCCATGGATAGCTCCATTATATAGAAGGAAGAAATCCATTACTACTGTCAGAATTTTATCGCCCTCGCCCAGAAGTTTTATACGTGCCAATCCATCACATATCATACAGTGGATACGCTGATAAGTCAACCGCTGACGATAGTAAAAAGTTAAGAATAGGAACAGGTTTCATTACAGGAGCAGCGTTCGAACGTGTATAGCTAATAATGAATCAGGCTTTTGAAGTGACTTTGCTAAAGAGGCATCGATTCTGGCTTGGTTATTTAAACGGCTAGTCGTCTCGACTCTAGTGCATTTAACCGCTTTCTTTCTGTTAGACTAAGTAACGATCGTTCTGACATTGCTTAACTGACGGACTACTGCAGTTCTCTTCGCCTGTGTTGCCTCGACGCTGACTCATTTACCGAGAAAAGTCATAACTCTGACGGTCAATTACTACTGCGTAATATTAGAGTATTGCCTGTTTCTGTTACCACTACTTTGTCAGCAGAATTTCATAGCAACCGCTTACGATTTGTCGTCCGAGCGAGCTTGAAGAAATCTACACTTATAATGCCGTTTACTTTTCAAATAAACTATGAGCATGATACTTATGATTGGACAGAAAAATCAGATTATGCTGCACGCTAAGAGCCAAATGGTTACTGTACCTCGTCCTTAACTCAACGCGCGATTTCATCTTAGAAACTGCTCCAAAGACCAAACTCAGTCAACTTCAATCACTCAATCACCGAAGCTAAATGGCGACACGTCCAGCTTCACCTCAGCTAACTGAAGACAGAATCAAATTCCTGTTTACCTGTGTCTATGTCCTGCACAGCCCCTTTCAAATTCCATTGTTCAGTCTTTATCATCCTGCAATTCTAAAGATTCGCAACATTTACTCTACAGTCCTAATCTGTGACTTTTGCATAAAACAGTCCATTAAGATTGGAAGACGACAGTCCTGCAAATGCGATGCTGCTTTATTTACCAATGCAACAACTATTTTCAGTCACTCACAAAGTGAGACATAGGGCCTACTTTCGAGTTTACTTCGAGCAATTACAAACGAAACAAATTTAAACACTTGTGAAATGCTGAAACAGAAAACGTTTCCGCGTGCAGCAGATAGCGAAGGCCGCAATGCGGTGCGGGGCAGACCGTGTTTCGTGGTCTGAAGTTAATTTCTGTGCTGAAAGCCAATTTGTTGGTGTCGGCGAACCCGCCCCTTCTAACAAAAAAGGGTGCTCAAAGGCAGCCGTCTTTAAACCTTTTCGTCAGTGCAATGCCGCCAATTTCCTAGCCACCGCCGATATTGTGAATTGCTGGCTCCTCACCAGACCTGTGTATAAATTCATTATGTGAGACACAAGGAAATTTCAGCTAGAACTGAGTCGCAGCTTCAGAATGCCTTGGTTCGCTGTTTTCTGTTTCTGCTATTATGCCTTTCTGCCGCTGTCCCTATGGTGAGACGCAGTAAGACCATTTATTAAAGTTCCTATAGGTTAGGCGTCACGGAGAGCAGCCAATGGCCATGAAATCTGATCGCACATTTCAGTATGCGAGGTAGGTTTCAAAAGTACGGTCGCAATCGCGAAGACTTGTCATGCACCAGAAAATCATCAGATAGTGAGATAGTGATAACTGTTCCCTTGGAGACCTCGTTGCTTCAATGAAAGATGTCGAAGATACTGTAACTACAACCACGACGAAAACTGAGAGACACCATCCGCAATTACATCTAAGAGAGTATGAGTATGATATCATGTTTCATGCTTTCTGATGAGAGTTCGACGCCCATTAAAAGTTCAGCAAGTCAGGTGCATCGACGTTGGGATGCAAGGGTTACGTTACAGGTAGTGGTGGATTGTAGTTGAAAGTTAATTGGCAATGCTTCAGACACTGAGAGTAAAAACGATCCAGGCTTATCTTCAGACCAGCAGCATCAAATATACACGTAATCAATCATTCGTGGGCAAATCAGCATCTCGAAACAATGACAACCAATAAACCTGCATAAACAGCGTCTATTCCGGGGGAAAAGAAGCAAATTCGCACATCAGTTACTTCCAATCCTGTTCGCACCAATGGTATAGTTGTCAGAAATGAAAACATGTCGATTAATCGCCCATTGAAACTTGGTGAATCGTTCGTTCATCGGTTTTGTCAACATCCGGAAGCAAC